CGTCAGCACCTATGAGCTGTGGCCCGTCTGTGTTGAGTCTATCGAGGTCCTCTGGAGTGATCTTGGTGGCGACAGGGGGGAGGTACGCTGATGAGATCGTCAGTTTCATACCTGCTTCCAGATGGATGGTCACTTGTGCAAGCTCAATGCCTGCAACAAGCGCCGGTCCTGTCTCTACCTGTATCTCATCCCTGATGAGGATTGGCACACCTCCACCACGACAGGTGCGAGCTATCCCATAATGTTGGAACCCAGGAAGTCCAAAACTAGCAGCCTCAGGGGGGGACATTTTTGCCTCACTCAGTGAGCAGAACGTGACATTGTCACCGTAGAGCTTTTTACCCAAGGTTAGACGTTTGGCCTGTGTTAGCCCAGCTGGGTTCCATTGCATGCCCCTCAATGCAGGGCCGGGATTCTCTTCCACATTTCCACTAAGCAGTGACCTGGTGCGGATGATACTGCCGATGGCGCGGTAACACGCGCCCCATGACCGACAAGGATAATACTGTGTCCCAGCAAGACGCGGCAGGCCCTGGTACTGTGTGATGCCGTAAGTCGGGCGCCGCAAAGTTCTCCAAGTGGCGAACGTTGCTGGCGCTTGGCTTCCCCCGGCAATGCGGGGTACTGGACCTTGGTGCCACGATGAGGTGGCCGGCATCACCAAGGATGATAGTGCATGGAAGTTCCGATCTGCAGGCGCAGTCCGTAGGGAGGCGGGTTGCCTCAACAAGTTTCCCAGACAACATCTTAAACAGAAAAAGTGATTTTATACCTCTCTGTAAATCAACCGAAAAGAATAAAGCATACAAGCCAAAAAAATATACCGCCACATTGTACAATGCGTTTAGAATAGCAAGCGCATAGCCTAATAGCACGTTTGTCTCACAATTGTCCTGACCATCCTCCTCCTTCGAGAACCCGATAAATGGATGTCACTTTCCTGTCCGTTTTGTCCCTCACCACTCCAATAGACATAATCCATTTAGCTTTGGTTTTTTTTTTTGGGGGGGGGGATGTCTGAATAATGTTTCCTCTTTCATCCAAGAATAGTCTATACCTTACCTTCCCCTATTAAGTAAAAGAGAGAGAGAGAGAGAGAGCAAGCGAGACCTTATATCTAGATCCCATTTCGAAAACCCCTTGCCCCTGGTACGCATAGAAAGGGGGACTTCCAGTAACCTCAAGGCCTTCCCCTTATAAGGAAGTTAAAGCTTGTAGTCCCACTGACGAAAAGGAGGTGCTGAAAGCGCCCTTAACCCGCCTCCCGCGCCCCCCTTCGCAAGTCCCACCCCTTCGCGATGTCCGTCGGCAAAACCTTTGCTCCTCGTGATATACCGTCCGCAGGGTTGTTTTTCGACGCGACATAGTCCCATGAGGCGTGCAAGCCTTGGTCCCGCAGAACCCTGTCGATAAGCCCCGCCTCTCCCACCAGGGCATCGGAATGCGTGTTGCCTTTCTTCATAATATGCATTACCGTCGTGTTGTCGATACATATATGGAGTGTAATAGGCATATTCCCCTTGAAAGCGAGCAAGGCCAATCCGACGGCCCTCGCTTCAGCCTGTGCAATTATATGGGGGGCTTTTTCCCAAGCACCCCCCGTGGCCCAAACTTCCCCGCTGCCTTTAAACAACAGCGCGCCCCATCCATATAAAGAGGCGTCTGGCACCAATGTCCCTGAAGTCGGTAAAGCCCGCGGGGGGTATACGGGGTTGTTCTGTAATAGAGTGTCCAGCCATTTCTGCCCCACCGTAAGGGCAAAGGGGGGTAGGGCTGCCGGACCGCGTGCGTCTACCAGCCCCCTGTTAAGTCGTGAAAGTCTTCTGCGCACCATTTTCAAGAAGAAATAATGGCGAAAAAGCGAACCCCCCTGAACCCCCGCCGCATACATCATACGTGACGTGAGGCATTCCAATTCCTCCACCGAAATCTTGTGGAGGGGTGTGGCGCTCTTCAATTTCCGTAACGTTTTGTCACTGAGGGATACCGTCCTAGCCGTGTGGTTGAAACAAACTCCTATGAATTCATAACGCGTTGTGAGGGTCTCGTGCTCTCCCACCGTCGCACCGCAATCGCGCATATTTCCCATAATAGTGTTCCCCCACAACTCAACACTTTTACGTGGCCCTGTGATACGCAGATTGTCAATCCACACGTGAAGGGTTAGCTCCGGCGGGGCTGCGAACCGCGGTTTAACAACCTCGGGGTCACCCGCCAAAACCCTTGTGATGGTATGCACGATTTCTGGACTACATTTATACCCCATGGGGAGTCGCGTGAACTCAACGAGCTCCCCCTTCTCCGTGCGACAACGGAAATTCCCGCGTGTTTCGGCTGGCAAGCCTACCTGGAAGAAAGATGCCTTTAAATCGAAAATGGCGGCTGTCTCATCGTAAACCGCGCCCAGGTACTGAGAAATATGCCCCAGAGGAACCAAAGCCTCGTAGTCCTCTTGTTCATTTTTAGCTTTTGGCCATGCTATGAAACGGCGGCGCGGCCCCGACTGTTTTTCCTCCACTACCGTAAAAGGCACAACCCACCCGGTAGTGGGTAGCTTTGATGCGGGTTGAATAATACCCGCCTTCTTCATAACCTGGGCGTCCTCCTCTGTCATCCTCAACAGAGGCTCCCGTTCCCCTGCCCTAGCAAAAGCTGGCTGTTGGACCAAGTCCCACACTGTGTTAAACCGTTCCAGAGCCGTAGAATTGAGCCGGCTCCGGATCCAGTGCAATGAGGGAGTATCCACATCTACCTGTTGTAACGGTAACTTTCTTTCATCTGTCTTATCGGCCACCCGTGTGTGATCGGTACGTCGCAAAATGCTGTGCCCCTCAAAAAGCTTTCCATACTCCTTTCTACTAACCGGATAGGCCCATAGAAACATCGCCCATTTGCTGATCTCGTCTACATGTGTGCCATCAGGTGTGCCGACTTGTTTACCAGGGCGACCCAAGGCCCTATGTAGCGAGCTGTGCTGCGTGGTAGCTCTAGAGGGTCTGCGTGTTTCCCCAACTGAGCCAGCAGGCGAGGGTCGAGATCGTGTTCGATCACCGCTGCGGCTGCATGCGCCAGTGCCCCTCTTTTGATAGAATGTACTGTCATGCCGAATGGGCGGAGTAGGTTTTCCATGCCTCTTGTGGTTAACGTTATGAGCCGTTCCCCCTCCACCATTCCCGTGGTGATGCCTCTTGCCTTTTTGCATCTTCTCCCCCTCCGATAACCACATATCGCGCCGCTCTGTGTGGGTCGATTTTGAATGTCTTTGGGAGGGCCCCCCAATCGACAATTAGGGCATCCTTGTTTTGAGTGTGGGGAATAAAATTTTCCCTTTGGAGTAGAGCGATTTCTCCCCACCGACTGGCTGTGACCCAAGCGAGTCGTAGGGCAACCCGGTCGTTTTCAGAGGTTAAAATATCGCTGATGAGATCCAATTCCCACCTCTCCATGGGGCGGGCCTGTTTTATGGGG